GTGTGTATATGTGTGTATTGTGTGTGTGCATGCACATGTGTCTATGTATGTACACTCTGAGTCTTATACAAAGTCCTGGAGATGCACCACTGGAAAAGTCTAAGACCAGGCACCCTAGACAGGAAAACACATTGATGCCAAGTGCTGGCTTTGGAAACAGACAGGTTAAAGGTCAGGAAATAGTTTTAGACAGCATTTTTTACAGAAGAATCAAAATTTCTGTTGCCTTGTGATTGGCCCTTATTTCTGGAATTTTCCCCAGGTAAATAGATTGCTTCTTATCGGCTACATTACAAGAGTTCTAGCTTTGGATTGTGTACCAGACAATGAGCAAGGGTGATATCATCCAGATGACAGATGGTTGTGTTTCCCTGAGGTTAGGTATTCTGGGATGCACAGGCCATCTCTTGTGTAGCATTCTGGCTGGAAATTTTTAACCTGATCCAATTGGGAAAATATCAGGTAAATAACAGTAAGGGATAGCCTAAGAAATAAAATTAGCTGTATTTTTCAAGTATGAAAATGTTACAAAAGCTACCACATAGCCAAAGACTGAGGATTGTAACAAATTAAAAGAACTTAGGGACATGTGAGTGCTACATATGATTCTGGACAGGAATCTGTCCTGGGATGGACAACTAGTTTCACTGGAATAAAGACAGTTTAGATAAAAGTTTATATCAGTATCCAGTTTCTTAGACACCTGAATTTTGTTCCTTGATACTGCATAAAAGATAGTAACGACAGGTTAATTGTCATGATATATGCTGTCTACATCAAAAGATGTGTGTGTAGCGTATGTGTTTGAGTGTGTGTGTGCATGTAGTGTGTATGTGTGTGAGTGTGTAGTGTATGTGTGAATGTATGTGTGTGAGTGTGTATGTGTGTGAGTGTGTGTGTATGTATGTGTGTGTGTCGTGTGTGTGAAGACAGCCACAAAACTGATACGATAAATTATAAAAATTGATGAATGCACTGTATTATTTTGAAAAGGTCTTTCGTGAATTTGAGATTATTAAAACAACAACAAGAACAAACCAAGGACAGGTAATTTTGGTGAGGCCTTTGCCCATGTCAAGGTTTGCTCAAACCTCATGTCTTGGGCCCTGCCCATATCTAACCATGTGGTGGGTGAATCTTGATTGTCAACTTGACTGCTTTTGGAATTGCCTAGGAGACACATCCCTGGGCATGTGTGGGGTGTTCCCAGAGATGATTAACTGTGGAGGGAAGACCCACTATGAATGTGACTCTAGACTATGGGATGGGGGTCTCAGGCTGAATAAAAAGCAGGAAAACAGGACAGATACCTGAGCTCTTCTGTCTGTTTCCTTACAGTAGATGTCACGGTTGCCTCAGGTTCCTGCTGCCAGGCCTTCCTTCAAACTCCAAGGGAAAGCAAATCTTCCTTCTTTAAGTTGCTTTAGTCTGGTGTTTCATCACAGCAATGAGAAAACTTACTAATGCACCATCCTCTTCCAGAGTGATGACAACCCTCAGCTCAGACCTGTTGGGGATTGGTTCTAATGCTATTTATATTAATACAAAGTTAATTACACAGGAACCGGCATATCTACCTGTAAGACACTGAAGGGCCCTGCCCCCAGTTGGCTTTGATTGGTGAAATAAAGAGTTGCCGTTGGCCAATGGCTGGGCAGAGAGACAAAGGCTGGACCTTTAGATTTCCTGGGCTAGGGACGACTGGAAGGAGTAGAATCACCATGATGGGGAAGCAGAGAGATCAGACTTTAGAGCTGCAGGAGAGAAGGCATCCAGACATGTAAGAGGCAGGGAAGCAGTCCCAGGAGAGGAGAGGTATTGAGAGGTACCTCAGGATGATGGTGTCTTACCCTAGGTAACTGGACTCTTGTCCTGGGGCTCTTGGTTTTAGGAGACCCTACTCTGGATTAAGGCTGGTCTCACAAGAAGCCAGAACTTGGGAACCTAGCTTGACACTTTATCTGTTTGTCAGGAGAAACATTCACACACCCATTTTGTTCCTGTTGGCCTGACTTTATGTAAGGAAAGCCTCCAGGTTTAGGCCAGCAATTGTTGAGCAATTGGATATTAGCAGGGACCATCACAGAACACAACTTGTAATGCTCTGGATGACAGATGCCTCCATCCTAAGGCCTTCTTGTTTCACCTGGAGATTTTATAACTCAGAGCCCATCCCTTGTTTCCCAACACCAGTACGAATGTAGACAGGATGACTCCTATCAGGTAATGAACAGGCACCTCTCACTTCCTAAATCACTGTTTTCTGTGGACAACACAGAAGACAGATCTGTAGGCGGGTGATATGGCTCCGTTGGTAAGAGAGAGAGGGAGAGGGAAAGGAGAGAGGCGTTAGGAATGAGAATACACTGTCTCCTTTCACAAGAGGTGGGGTTGAGACTCGGAACTGGCATTTCCTGTCTGTTCCTTGCTGTCTAAAACCTTTCCACCCTTGGCATCTTTGAACTGGTATGCAAAACTCCCCTAAACTCTGATTTTGGTGAGCTGCGATTTGGCTTATTCCCCTGGCCAGCCCCCTCCCTGCTTCCCGCACCCCTTGCTCTGTGGATATTGCTTGGGCAGCATTTTTCATTTTTAACTGAGTAACTAGTGTCACAGTGACCACAGCGTTCGCCTCTTCCGTGTCTTTCACAGGATACAACCAAACACTTCTAAAACAATACTCTAGAGGTGAACTGAAACACAACAGAGGGGGCGCTCACGACTCATGTCCACCCTCCAGTTTTATTTATTATAACCTCCGGGGCTACAAAGGCTGGCAGCCGCTCCTGGAGATGGAACCCACAGGTACCCTCACTTATGAGCCCTCACTGCCAACGCTGATTCACCCACTGACGGTCACCAGGGTGGTCACCATAGCTAGCAGCTGCAGCTGCAGCTGCGGGATCCTTTCACCCAGACATGAACTCGAGAAAAACAGGATCCAAGAACTACTCCACAGGAGCGTTTCCTCCTTTCCTTTTCTCTTTAGCACGTTTTCATTTGTGTCTTCCTTAACGCTTTCTTCCCCCTCAATCAACAGCTTTTCCACTCAAACATGCAGCCACTCGGACTCCAGCTTTTTACCCTCAGGATTCTCCAGGCCCTTGTGTCACGCGAACTCCGCAGTGGCCTCTACTATTTCACGCACACACACACCCCCACCCCCTCCAGCGCCTGCAGGGTCCTGCTCTCAGCCGGGCTGTCACGGACGCTCCAGGTCCCACCCCATACTACTGACTGGCTGCTCTGCACCCTCTTCCAGTCGGCGTCCCTCAAGGCCGGTTCCACTCGAGCCTTCGTGTCCACATTTTTCCTCTAAACCCCTCCAAGTCCCTTGCCTTTAGCAAACAGCGATTGTCCCTGGACACTCCGGGTCCTCCTGTCTACACAGGCTGCACTGCAACCCTTCCCAGCCTGTGTTCGGAAAGTCTCTTCCCGCCCCTCTCGGAGTCACTCCAGACTGTGGCTGCTCGTCCCGGGGCTGCCCCTCCAAGATCTCCCCGAATCCAAAACGGATCTCCCCCTGCCGAGTCCCCGCCACCCCCGCAGCGCCGCCCAGCGTGGCTCCCACGCCTCTGTCCCGGCGGCTTCGGGGTGGTCCGTCCCCCGGGAGCTGGCCCCGCCCCGGCCCCGCTCCGCCCCCGGCCGCCCAGGCTTGATTGGCCGCGAGCCCCCCTCCCCGGAGCTCCTCCCCGCCCTCTCGGTCCGTGGGCACCGCCACCTGGTCCAGAGAGTCCCCCGAGGGGACTTAGAGGCTCCGCTCAGGCCGGGCGCACACTGTGGAGACGCGGAGCGAGCGCGGGCCAGGGAGGAGGAGCGAAGGTGTAGGACAGAACTTCGCCAGGAACAGGAAACCTACGGCCGGGCAGGGGCGGCGACGGCGGCGCGGGGCCATCGCAGTGTCCCCAGCGGTGGCCTCGCTGCCGCGCCCGGAGCTGAGCCGCTTGGACCCCTCGGACCCAGCAGGCACGAGCTCACCCTTGCGTGCAGCAGAGACAGCGGGGACAGCCACAGGAGCGTGAAGCAGCATGTCTGACAAAATGTCCAGCTTCCTCTACATTGGGGACATCGTGTCCCTGTACGCGGAGGGCTCGGTCAATGGCTTCATCAGCACCCTGGGGTAAGCAGGACGTGCTCTGAGCAGCGCCAGCCAGCTCGGGTCCCTGTGTCTCCCGCGCGGCGTGTCCGGGGTCTGCGCCTGGGACAGCCCCGAGTCCCCTAGGTCCCAGCGCGCAGGAAGCCGCGAGCGCTTCTCAGCAACTTCATAATCTCCAGCCCGAGACACATCCGAGAAGAGGAAGTGGTTCGCACGCCCCAGACAGGCCCTGCGAGCCTGCCTTCCCTGCCTTGTTTTGATTAAAATGTGTGTGTTTTCTCCCCATCTTCCCTATGGTCGTTCTCAGTGCCCGGCTGGAAAGAACGGTGTGTTGAAGTCCCTGGCTTGGGCCATAAAAGTAGGCGATGTGCACAGCGCAAATGTGGCTTTGTCCTGCTTGAGGAGATCACCAGCCCCTCTTCGCTGAAGTAATTTCCTTTTGGCCTTGCCAAAGGAGGACTCACTCCTCTGGCTTTGCCAAAACTGGCCTCCTGTGCAGCCAGGGTTCTAGAACTCAGCAATTCTCTCTCCCTGTCCATCCCCTCCGCCCAGTGAAAGGAGCTAGCTCAGCCTACTCCAAGGCCCTTGTGATTCGAGTTGGTGTATGAACTGGGGAAATACAGATGTATATTATACAAAAAAGCAGCGTGTTGGTTAGGTAGGACCTTTCCTGGTTTCTAGAAAATTCCTTCATGGTGTTCGTGCTGATGAACAGTTAATTGCACCCTACGATATGTTTTAGAGCACAGGTGGTTTTTGGTTACTTCATGGGACCTGGCTCAGACTGTCTTATCTGAGAAGGCTGAGGCTGATGACTGTTCTCAGCTGTTAGGTTTTGGAGTTCTGTCCCCTGGGCTTCGAGAAAGAGAGCCTTTCTGTGACAGTGTTGCGTGTCCAGTGCTTTCTCTAGAAGTCACAAGTGACTCTGCCATTCCTGTTCTTTGTGCATTTCCTCACAGACTTCGGGAAGGAAGGTTTAATTGTGTATCTTTTCCATGTTATTTTCTCCTGAGATTGAAGTGAGAAAGAAGTACTTAGTCCAAGTGTTTCTGTTTGATCCAGTTGTTTCTGAGAGAATTCACAGTCCAGGATAGTGCTTCGTTGATGAATCCTGTCAAACTCGGTAGGCATGAAAGGTGTCGCCATTTAACAGCTAAAAGGAGGGGTTCTAGAAACAGAAGGTTTGGGCTGGGATCTTCACCCTTTGATTTGCAAACCTTATGACCCCAGGCAGATTATGAAATATATCTGAGCTACATCTCTTGAGTTTAAAAATGGAACTCACAGTGGTTTCTGCATAGGGGTGTGGGGAGGAAAGAGGTAAGAGAGGCAAAGTGCTTACCATGGCAAAGCCGTAATGACGACGTTCATAAGTTAATTAGCCGATGCAGTAATTATCACCACCCAGACTAGGCAAGGGTTCAAGGGTCACTTGCAAGGTTGAATGTGAATAAGTGTACAAAGCGAATACAGGAAGGGCTGAGTATGTCAGCTTCCACAGTAGGCATTGTTGAGACCAAGAGATAGGGACCAAGAGAAGTGACTGACTCAAGAAACAGAGGGTATTTGTGTCCAAATCCAGAACTCTACTCCTGCCTCTGATGCCCAGCCAAATCTGCTCTGCTTTCAATAATAGCTGTAGACCTAGAAAATCAGCATGAACAACTGTTGCTGTGACATATTCAGTGGCCTCAAAAGTGCTTCTTGTGTTCTGTGTTTCTTGATGGTGATTTGATAGTGGAGTTTCCTTAGGATGTGTTTGCAGACTGTGTCACTCCCTGGTTGTTCGTGAAGTAATAGTGTTACTGCAAGAGTAACAAGTTCAAGTTGAAGAGTCTTGAACATCTCTGGATGGAGCTTGGGACTTTGATTGGATATCTGTTTTCAGAAATAGACTTCTCAGGGACTCCAATAGCCCATAGAGCTTTAGAGACCATGTGTGTGTTTGCCCTCACATCCGAATCAACAGGTTTTCTAAGGCTGGTTATAGAAGTCATTGCTGACACCCCCGATACATTTTCTGGCCCTTGGTGAATAATGTTCAAAGGGCCCTGGGCAGCAGCCCAGAGACATGGACTTCAGTGGGTTCTACACAAGCTTGAATCTTAAGAAGTACGACAGACCAGAAAGGTTCTGAGGCATCTCTCTTGACAAATGCTAACATCCTCGTATCTGTGACATAGTACTTTCTGTTTAGAAGAGCAGATAGGAAGAAATACTTTCACATTTGGGAAATATCCAGTAGTGCCCAACATTAAATTATTAACTATCTTATCAACGAGCGTTTCCAAACAGTGCCGTACGTGAGATCTGCAAGCACTGTCGTGGAACTGTCAAAGATGCTTCCTGCACTTCTTACGAGGCTTCACTTCTAAAGAAAATCTCTTTGTGTTTTTTTTTTTTGTATTAATATGTAGTTTCAAAACTAGGGGTTCTGTCTTATAAAGTATTTTTTTCCAAAATTCAGGAGTGAAAAGTTTCAACTATTTGAAAATAATTACATTGAGTTTTGTCATGGCTTAATTGAGGTCAATTTCCCAGTATTATAACAAACTACCTGAGATTATCAGCTTTCCAAGGAGGAAAGCTTTTTGTTTTTCTTCCTCGTAGTTTTGGAAGCTTCAGTTCTGCAGTCTAATTCTGTTGCTTTGGACTGCCAGTGGCATAGTATAGGTGGCAGGTGCCTGTGAGCAGGGGACAGGGGACAGGGGACAGGGCACACTCCCAGTGATTCAAATTTTACTCTGTGTGTGCATATGTGTATGTGTGTGCTTGTGTGTGTGTGTGTGAAAGAGAGGGGGTATATGTCTGTGTATGTGTGAGTGTGCATGTATGTGTGTATGTGTATCTATGTGTGTCTGTGACTGTGTATGGTACGTGTGTGTATCTCTCTGTGTGTGACTGTGGGTGTGTGCACCTGTGTGCATGTGTATGTGTATCTGTGAGTATCTATATCTGTGTGTGTCTGTATATGTGAGTGTCTCTGTGTATGACTGTGTATCTGTGTGAGTGCATGTGTGTTTGTGTTTGTGAGTGTGTCTGTGCCTGTGTGTCTGTGTTTGAATATGTGTCTCTGTGTAAGAGTGTGTGTGTATATCTGTGTGAGAGTGTGTATGTGTATCTATGCCTGTGTGTGTCTTTGTGTATCTTTGTGCATGTGTCCATGCCTGTGTGTGTGTCTGTGTGAGTGTGTGTGTGTCTGTGTGTGTATGTATGTGTGTGCTGTGCATGTGGAGGTCAGAGGCTGTGCTGGATAGTTTTTGTCAACAAGGCAACTAGAGTCACCTAGCAAGAGGCAGTCTCCATTGAGGAGTTGCCTCCATCAGACTGGTCTGTGGACATGGCTGTGGGGCATTTCATGATTAGTGATTTATATGGAAGGTCCAGCACACTGAG